GGAATGGTGAGTTTGGGGGGTTTTCTTGAATTTTTTTTTCTTAAAGGGCTGGAGCTGGGGCAGGCAAGGCAGCCATGGTGGGACTCGGGGAGCAGAGTAGGGGGTTGGGGGGGCTTGTGCAAAGCCCCCCTTGCAGCATGGGGCAGTGGGGGGTAGCAGGGATCATTCACAGGTGCTCCATCTCTCCCTTCTTTCCTCCTTCCCTCCATCCCAAATTAAGCAATTAGCTGCTCATTCAGAGGTGCTTTCTTCCACCCAGTGCAGGGCTTCACTAGGTCTCTGTTGTCTGGCTTGACTTGCCTTCTCCCTCCCTCCCCCACAGTCAAGGGGTCCTGGGAGCTGGGGGTATCTTCTAGCAGCAACTGCGTCCAAGCTGCCTTGTTATTGGCTAATCGTTTAACCAATATAATTAGAGGAGGTTACACAAATGTTTTGTAAAAATATATTTACATCCCTAATACCAATACCTAGACTTAGACCCCCATTATAAGTGAAAACAGTTAAAAAAAAAAAAAAAAAAAAAAAAAAAAAGTTAATTTTTAGTACAAAAACATTTCCTGTCAACAATTGCCTTATTAAAGCTGTTTTTGTAAAAACATTTCCATTTTAACCCTTTTGAAATTTTTAGGGAAGAGAGCTTCTTTTTTGACAAGTGTTTGTCCCAAAAACCTGTCAGGCAGGTCTGATCTTCTGCTGTTTTGGCCGTAGGGAACTTAAGCCAGGAGAACAAAATAATAATAGTCTGAAACACGGCAGTAGCTCTTTTGACAAAAAATGGAAACTTCATAAAAATAATGAGTACTTTTGCTGTAGATTCTGATCTTTATAAAGGGAGCTGGCTGAACAATTTTAAGGGTCTTACATTCAGTATAATAATAACTGCAGTATGAAAGATCTAAAGTGAACCTTTTAAAAAATGTCCTCTCTCAGTGCAACTAGAGAACAAAAGGATTCACAATATAAAGTCAAAAAAGAGAGAACCTAACAGAGGAGAAAAATGATTTTGTTAGGCTTTTTGGACCTTTGAGACTTAATTAACTAATGAATGGTGTCTGTAGGTAGACAGTCCCCAGTAACATCTCTTAAAGCAAGCATATGGACTAATTGAACTCTCCAAGAAGAGACCTCCTGATAAAAAGAATGCAAGAGCTGCACTTTCTCATACTTCTACCTTTAAAAAAAAGAACAAGTAAAGGGGCAAGAAAACTTGCTTTATTTACTCTTTCAAGCCATTTTTAATAGAAAGAGGTTTCAAATCTGTCTTATTTTATTTTTCAGTCTCGGGTTTACTTTAAGATTTGAAGCCTTAACCTTCTACCTTTCTGTCACTTGCCTGTCTCGTTGCTTCCATTGATGCAACAAATGATCTGCTGTGAAAAGTAGAAATGACTTAAAATATTGTATAGAAAATGTTTTTTGAAATTGAAAGAATTGTCAGTAAAGACTGAGTTTAGTCTTGACAGAGAAACAGAGTTAATTTAGTAACAGGTCATCTTTATTTCAGGTGGCAAAGAGTTTAAAAAGATAAATGTTAAATCTAATTCTGAACTCAGACCAGTTTAAATCTTAAAGAATTCTGTCTAAATCAGTGGCAGTAAACTAGTTATAAATTCAGGATCATGATGTGGTTCTGTGATTCTTTTCATAGAACTCTGATTTGTTATTGTGATAATTAGTAAATATTATTCCCGTTTCACCATATACATGGAATTTACCTGTGGTCTTCAAGTAGTCTTCTGTAGCTTTGCCTCTATAGTTGGCTTTTCTCTGTTGGCTGTGTAATTCAAAACTGAAATTATCATTTGAGTAGGGTAGACAAGAAAATTATGAGGTAATCCACTGGATTAATTTAATAAAACCCCACTAATCCAGGATTTGTTTAATGCTTCATATATTACATATGATTAGATTTTCATAGATTTTTCATCTAAAATGTACCACTGTATATTCTGTATTTCAGGTCTGGCTCCATGCCCCATATGAGCTTCATCTTTCATTATTTGAGCACTTCATTGAACTTCTCACAGAGTCCAGGTATTAGTTGATATTAGCCTGGTAATATAATCTAAAATAAGGAATTATCCAGGAAACGTCCTGATTGTTTATTAAATCTTTTTTTTTCTTTCTGTCTTTCAGTGAAGCAGCAAAGAATGCTAAATTAATGAGGGAGTTCCAGCTAATCCCTAAACTACTGTTGACTCTTCGAGATGGATCTTTATCCCAGCCTACTATTGCTGCAGTTAGTAATGTGTTGAGCTTTTTGCTTCAGGGTTTTCCCAGCAGCAGTGACCTGCTCAGGTAACACAAACACTTACTGACATTTATTTATGCATTATTTATTTATTTATATATTTATTTAAGATGGGGCTTTGCAAGAAACTTGCGGATGGTAGTGCTTCTGTAGGGGACTAATATAAAGAGTTTATTGGAGCTATTCAGTACATATAAATGTAAAAACCACAGGAAATAGTTTAAAACCAGTGCCCTGGAATTGCACCTTAAGCTCAGTTTAAGTCACAGTAGAAATTAGTATTAAATTGCCCTAGAATGTTTTCCAGTATGAAAGCTTGTACTAGAGATAATTATAAACATGGCAGAGATGCATAATATTCTAAATTCACAATTGCTCCAAGAGATTGTGACCGTTTTTGGAGATTGTCAAGTCTGTATCACTTGTGCTTAAATTTGGGTTTCTTTAGAACCTTTGGAGCTGTCATGCTGCTCCACGTTAAAATGCGGCATTTACCATTCTCATCTGAGAGGTTTATTTCTAGTTCTCCTTCTAAACAGGCAGCTTGTAGGAAAATATCTGAGCATCTCTGATGGAACAGTGGGTGACTACAGATAAATGTTACCTTTTCAGTTGCATCTGGTCTGTATGAGGACTTATAACATGTTAAATTAATTGGTAAATGCAGACTGTGGGAGGGAATGGTGGTAATGCAGAGAGGGTAATTAGGGAGGACCCTGGAGGGCCAGGAGGTTGGAGGCAGAGTAGAACGAGGGGTGGCGATTCAGAGTTCTGGGGCAGAGGGAGAGGGGCAATGAGAGGTTGAGATAGAAGGGGAGGGACGGTGAGAGGTTGGGGTGCTGGTGTTAGAGGAGGCTTATGTTCAGGGGTGTTGTGAGAGTGGGATATTGTTTAGGGGGCTTCTGTTTTATGTTGGTATTCTAGTTCCCTTTTAAGTTGTCTTATTCTCTTGTTCATTCCCCTGGTTTAAAAGTTACTCTCTTCTCTTATTGTAAACTGCCATGAACCTTTGCTGGGTAGGGTGGCATATAAATCAAATTACTAAATAAAGAATAGATACGAGTAAAGAATTGTCATATTGCTCCTTTGGCTCAGTTAGTGTTTTTACTTTTCATTTGTTGGTAGTATGAAACAACTTACCTTTCTGTATTTTTACCATGTTCTAGACATAATTTATGTATAGAATAAATGTTATGCAATTCATAATTATTCTTATGAAATGAACAAAAATAATGTTTGTTGCTTTATTCCTGCCACTCCTCAGGGCTTTCTGTTTGCCCTTAATGGTAGCAGTACAGCCAGAATCTGGGTAACAGTGTTTAGTATTGTCTTAGTTGTACTCTTCAGGATTGGTGTGCATTTCTTCCAAAGAACAGGAAAACAAGAATAGAAACCCTAGATAAGATCAAAATAACAGAGAGAGAATGCGCAACTATGCAGGAGTTAAGCTAGCTAAGTACATGTCAAATTGCTTACTGACAAGTAAGCAAAATTTATTTCTCCTTTGCCCCTCTTTGTGGTACTCTGTTGGGAAGACAGTCTTTACTAAATAGTTATTCTTCCTGCTTTCTAAGATCACATTCTTATATTGTATTTGAGCGTTTTTAGTGCAAGAGAATTCACTTTCAAACCAGTCTTGACAGTCTAGGATATTTTAACAGCATTTTGACCTGTAATGTTTGGTCAGGGATACCCTTTTAGGAGAGAGATATTAGTCTCTGAACACCGATTGTCTCAGTTTTCAGAAGTAAAAAAATGAACTTTTTTGTATATTTTTCCTTGTACTAATTTTTACGGTGGCTGTTGAATGTGAATAATTTACAGATTAAAGTCAGTCCATCACACATGCATTCACTCTTTTCTTTCCATAAAGGTTTGGACAATTCATCTCTTCCACTTTGCCTACATTTGCAGTCTGTGAGAAGTTTGTAGTAATGGAGATAAATAATGAAGAAAAACCTGATACTGGTAAGTAGCTTTCAGTATTTGAGTAGAAGAAAAATTATCTGTGATATTCTGTGTTTAAATTATTATTGGTAATGCATTCTACATTTTAATTCTAGTATATCTGCTTAGTTTAATAAGTCCTTCAGATTTGTGTGTGTTAAGCAAGCTGTGCATGGAGAGAAGTTCTTGTGTATCCTCTCATTTGATTCCCTTCACTACCTTCCCAGTTTCTCCTACTTGTTTTTTGAAATCATATGGAAATCTCCAGGCCTTCATTCACAGTGAGAGAAAGTGGGCTCATCAGCCTTCCAGGTCTTGCATCCACGCGCCAGGCAGAGCCAGGGCTGCACTGGGCCCCGCTGCACACCCAGTGCAGCGGGGCCCTCTGTGCAACAGAGGGTGGCAATGGCGCTGGGAGCAGAGTGGCGGCAAAATTTGGAGTGGATGCAGCATCTTCCCAGCACCGCCAGCTTCCGCTCCAAACCCAACCCCTGCCGAGAAGAGCCCCGCTCAGCCGCTGCTGCAGCCCACCCCACCCCATGCTGATCCGGGGATACATGTTTCCCCTCCCCACCATGCCCTCCTGGGGTGCAAGCAGTGGTGGGAGCTGTCCCCCCAGGCAGCGCCTGGACTTCCCAGCTGGAGGCAGCTCTCCATGCTGCCAGCTATGCTCCTCACTGCCTGAGGGCTACACTGCGGCTGCTCACAGCACAAGCATTTCTCAGCCAAATTATCTGCCCCATTGGGCTGATATCTGATACAGCCAGTTTTCTTTATACCAATATCGAACCGATGTATTAGTGCACCTCTAGAAAGCAGTAATGAGCAGTGTCTGGCTTTCTCAGATAGACCTAGAAAACTTTTCTTTTCTCCTTCAGGAACAAATGCTTTCTGTTAGCTGTTTTCAAAACATTTTTATTTAAAGCCACAAACATTGAAAGCAGTTTCACTGGAATTACTAATTGAAGCAGAAAAGAGAAGCCAAAATTATAGACCCAGCATCATAAACTGACATGAGCAACAGGTTCCAGGACTGTTAGCAATACATAACTAGTAGCTAATAACTAAAAGTTTGATATATTTTATTTCTATCCCTTATTTAAAGGAATTTGCTTTACTATTTATGGAGGTCTTTGATTGGCCTCACAGGAATATCCTGTGTTTGTTGAGGAGATTAAGCTGAAGGTCAGTTTGAAATTCACAGTGTGTTGATTGTTAGAGCATTTACTAGTGGGGCACAGAGAGCTGCCTGATTACATGACACTCTCTCTTCCTTGTTTCTAGCTGCTTAATTGCATTAAAGGAATTCTTAACATTCCTCTGTTGTAAGCAATTGCAGTTGTTCTCAGAGGGATACTTATAACTCAGTAAGATAAGATGGTGATTTGAGAGATCATGACTGGGTAGGGAAGGTTTGGTCGTCCCTAAAAATCAAAGTTTTAAGATGATCTGCTTCTAGTAGATAATAGCTTCTAGGGCGGGGGTGTGAAACAAGCTGTATTAGATTCGGATTCGGCCCAAATCGGGGGCAGTTATTTGATTCATTGATTCAGATCATTGTCCTGATTCAATTCAGCCAAATCTGAATCTGAAGATTCAAGGCCGTCTCAGAGAATCAGCAGTTTGGTTATAGACACAACTTTAAATGTTTTTCTACATGCGTCGAGGTACCAGGTGCAGCTCATAAACGCTGCAATGGTGGGACAGATGGAGTGTCCCACAGGAGCACGGGGGGGGGGGGGCCCCGCGTGCTCAGCAGCGAACCTGGAAGTGGACCGGAAGTATTTCCAGTCCATTTCCGGGTCCACCACCGAGCGCATGGGGAACCCCCCGCACCTCCTCAGCTAGGCAGTCGGCCACGGGGGGGACCCCGGGTGCCCCCCCCCGACCCAGGAGGTAGCACTCACCAAGGCGGTGGGGCGAGGTCCCCTGCACTCTCTGGTGGATCAATAAGTGGGCCGGAAGTGCTTCTGGTCCACTTCCGGGTCTGCTGCCAAGCACACTGGAGACGCCCTCCCCCGCACGTTAAAGCTGTGTCTGTGTCCAAATCATCAAATCTTTCCAAGTCGATTAGGAGAGATTAAAGGGTCTCCTGATTCGATTCAGATTCGGAGATTCGGCTGTCGAATCGGGCTAAATCTCCACCAAATAGAATCAGCCACCGAAGCTTCACACATTCCTAATAGCTTCCACTTTCCTTTCTGTGTCACTAGAGGCTTTACTACCATGGTGGGCACCCCTGGTGGCCAAGCTGGCTGTCATTCTTGTGCCTCCTCTAAGTGGGTGCTTGGGGCTGCTGCCCTGTTTCCCCACCCCTCATTACACTACTGTGTGTTACCACCCATTCAGACATCTAGGCATATAAAACCAAAGACAGGATGAGAGGCATTGGTCTTAATTTGCAATATGGTAGATTTAGGTTGGATACCAGGAAAAACTTTATCACTATGAGTGTGGTCAAGCGCTGAAATAAATTATCAAGAGAAATTGTGGAATTTGTCATTGACAATTTTGAAGTGCAGGTTAAACATACCTTTTTCTGGGATGATTTAGACAGCTGATTCTACCTTGAGCAGGGGTTGGCGTAGATGATCCTCTGAAGTCCCTTCCACTGTTTTTCAGTGATTCTGTGCTGGGCTTCGTGTTTTTTCAACATAATCTTTTTCTGTACAGCCTAAAAAAGTTATAATCTTCCTTTGTGTATATACACAGGCACATAAGCCGCTGTAGTGTTTACACATGGAGGAGCGAATGGTAGAAGAAAACTAATAACAACAAAAAACGTAATTTTAGAGATTCATGCATCAATTCTATTACTTCAACCCTTCTGTCCTTACACTTTTCCCAGCATCAAAATCCTCTGGTGTTTCATCTTAGAATTTAAGCTTCTTGGGAGAGAATGTGTCTGTGAAGCACCTTGCATGTTTTGGGCTTTGTAGTAATAGTAATGTTTGAATTTTTGTACTTGAAGTAGCTCTACTTGCTCTATAATATTAATGGAACATAGTGTTTTTCATGATATCTTTTTGGTGATGGAGTCAGTTTGGTAGAGGGTGTGCAATTCCAAGTTGGGGGATAATATATTTTGTGACCTGTGTTTAAAGGAAAATGAGGCTTATTTTACCTCTTTCTCATGGTGGGCTTGTTGCAGGGGGACAAGCGGGCCAATATTCCAACGAAGCATTTTTTTGTTGGTTTGTTTTTGTTTTACCTGTTGCCGATTTGTAGTTGTAAGATTGCATGAAATTGCTTAGAAGTACTAATCCATCTTCTTCCAGATTCACTTAATTCTTCCATTTCATGCTTAGGAGCAGAGGATGATTTTGGAGGCCTTGTTTCTGCTAATCTTATCCTTCTGCGGAACAGACTTTTAGATATCCTTCTGAAACTTCTGTATACTTCTAAAGAAAAGACAAGTGTTAACTTGCAGTAAGTACCAATGACTCTTCTGATAGAAAAAAGGAAGGTGACTGTAACAATTTTAAGATAAATGAGCAAATATGTTGGGTCAAACTCTGTTTATCGGTAAATAGTGATATAAATCCAGAGGAACTCCATGGATGTACCTGAAATTTACATGACTGTCACAGCAGAATTTAGCTTTGGCTGCAGTAGCAAAAATTTGATTTTGATTCTTTACCTTTGTGTTCCAACCTCTGATAGTGTGGGTTATGTTTTATTTTGTACATTACCGTGTCATCTATTTTTGTTGAGAGACCTCCAAACTAATCATCTGAAGATTAGACTATGCGGGTATAAAAGACATGCACCCTTTCTCAGTTTAAGCTTCTACTACTTTGAGGAGCATTAGCGAAGAATTATATAGCCTTGTTGTAAGAAAAATAGTTTATTTTATGTAATTTAGTTGCAGTGATTCCATCTGTACATTTTCAAAGCTGTAAGAGATTGTGTATGGGGAGCAGCAGTCAGCTATGGCAGTTCCTTTTGGTTTTTAATCTTTAAGCATAACCAGGTTCAGAGTATGCTGCTGTTCTCCCGAATTCATTCTTTAGCAATTTAAATAAAAAATAAATAATTTCTTAAATACAGCTACAGATAAAATACAAAATATAAAAAGAGAAGTCATCTCTATTCAAAAAGTGAGAGGAGCCAGCAGGTTCCAAAACATGTTAAATTAAAAGAAATATTAAATAATTTCAGTATACAGATGTTCTCAATAACATTGTTACTCATAAAATGCCAAATCTCTATTTAAAAATCCCAGCTGAAGTTACATCACTTAACAGCTAATGAAACATTACAGCCAAAGAGGGGAGAGAAAAGGGACTTTAAATTCTGTGTCAAGTTAGAATCTTTTAAAACAGGTGTTGGCTGTATTTGTCTGCTTGCTGTATTTTGGTGGATCACATGTAGTATTCAGATTTCACCATAACTTGACTGAATCATAAAATTCAGATGCAACATTTATATGCATGATGGATATTTAAACAGTTTAGTCTACATTTTGTTTCCACAAATATGATTAACACTTTGTTTCAGCCTAACCATGGGTTAAGGACTTGATGTTCTGTAGTTCTTCTTGTGAAAAATATAGGACAGATTCTCAAACTGTAAATTTATTCTCAGCAGAAGCAGTTGTGTGATTTATAAGTTGTAACTTGTCAGTATAAGTTTTCTGTTTAGCTTCTCAAAATTAATGTCAGACAATATCATAGGTGACTGGTAGGGGGGGGACTCAAGGGGCATGTGCCACAGATTGGCCCTTGTTGCTGCTGGCATTTGCAGGCAGTCACCACTCGCCACCCCGCCACTGACGCTGCTTCCCACAAACTGTGCCCCCTCCCGCCCCCCAAGTCTCAGGAGGCACCAGTCACCTATGGACAATATTCAGTGTAACTTCAAACAAGTTGGAGCAGTCTAAATCACTACCTTCAGTCCTCTTAATTCCACCAAACATCATGCTCACAATTTTGTAGAGGTTACCTGCACAAAAATCTGATTGATTGACAGTCCTTTCTTCTTTAGCAGATATGGTTTACATAGAGATCTGTTATGTTTTAAATTATTTTTAATTTTATCTAATATTCTTGCCTGAATTTGCCTGACAATGAAAGACCTTGACTCTTGCTATTTGTTATAAGGAATTTTGTGACATTTAACTTTTTTTGTGATTAGAGCATGTGAGGAGCTGGTCAGGACACTGGGATTTGATTGGATCATGATGTTTATGGAAGAACATCTGCACTCAACCACTGTAACTGGAGCCATGAGAATCCTTGTGGTCCTGCTGAGTAATCAGCCTATTCTCATCAAATTTAAAGAAGGCCTCAGTGGCGGAGGCTGGCTTGATCAGACTGATTCTGTGTTAACCAACAAAATTGGTACAGTACTAGGTATGAAATTTAAAGATGATGATTGAAGGGTGTTTGGATTTGTTTAATGTTATAAATATTGTATGTAGTAGTACGGAATGTCTGTTATTGTCATCAAATGGCTTTTAGTTTTGCAGGGCTTGCGTTTTTTTGTTTTTCTTGGTTACATTCCCCTACATGTGGTTTAAGGCAATGAGCGAAGGTGGGTGATTCTGCAGACTAGACTTCAAGTTGCATAGCTTCAGCATATGCAAATTTCAATCCATTTTTTCTTTTGGATGAAATTACTTTCTCGCTACTCTGTCCAAAACCTGCGTAGCTGGTCTTAATAAAGTTTGGGGGCCACTGATATCATTTGAACCTCTCCAGCCTGCCTAAACTGATATTGGTAGGCGGAGGTGGTGTGGAGCAGGGGATCTCTTCTCTGCATTTCACTCCACCTAAATGCTGCTGTACAGTTTGTCATCTTTTCCTGGCCTTCTGCTCTTGGGTAAATTTCAATTTGGATCCTGTTTGGGAGCATTTTTAAGGTTTGGATTTTAGTATTGAATTAACTCTGTTCCCTTAAAGTTTCTTTTCTTATGAGATCCTTAATATATAATAACCTTCAAGGAACTGCTGTGTTCCAGAGTCAGCCAACCTGAAGTGAATTACTCTTTCTGAAACTGAATCACTGGGTGACAATGAGCTAGTTAGTGAAATTCTCTGTTGCTACACACATAACAGGGTTATTATGTGTTATTATGTTCACTTGTCTTCTGAAGAATGCTGTGATTAATAAATGAAAAGCAGTATTTTTGTCAAAATATTCTATTAGGAATAGTAAAAATAATGTCCTTAATTATTTAATGGCAGAAATTTTAGGACATTCTATTTTTCTCCTGTTTTGAAGCATCTGTTTAACCTTTAAAAGTTACTCTGTGGTGTGCTAGTAAATATATAATAACATTTAACTAATCTGCATAGTTTTCAGGGGTTGCTAGAAAGCGTGACTTGCCTCAAAGTTGTAGTAATAATTCAAAATGAATACATTTTGAACATTTCAAAATATTAAACCAGTAAATTAGGATACTTGTTAATACCAACATTAAATTCAGTCATGTTTGGGGTTTTTTATGGCCTACAATAAGTTAGGTTACTAGAAGTGTCAGTCAGTCAAGGACTAGAATTGATGTAACAAAATTACAGTTGACAGTAGCATGCCTACTATGCGCCCAGCCTAGCCAAATGGAATTTTTCATCCGAAAGGGTTTGTGGTTTCACAGATGCAATATAACCATCTCCCTTTTTTGCATAAATGCCAAGTTGTCTCCTATAGTTCTAAATTATGCCCCATATGTGACCATTTTACTATAATTTAGGATCTTAGCACCCTTTCTGTTGGCTCAGAGGGCAACTTTAAAATAACTTCCCGCTTTGATGAGAAGTTATGTCAGCCCTCTTATTACGTGCAAAAGTGTTAGAGAAATATTTGGCTTCAATTTGCTGGTCATTACTTGTGTACAGAAGCACAGTTCATGAAGTTGTTTACACTGTACTCTGTAAATAAGAGGCAGAATGAAAAGGATAAGCAGCATGTGTCTGCTTATCACAGAGACTCAGCAGTAGTGGACAGATGCACGTATTTCCAAATTCTGGTTCTTTAGTCAATATTAATAGAGAGCATATTAACTATATGGTCCCTAATCCATTATTTCCACAAAATCTGGATGATTTTGAAACACGTTATTTGACAAGTTGTGTTTCATTTAAAGGGGTTGACACGGTAGATTTTGGTTATCTGCATATCGTCTTAATATAACGAAGTTTCTCTGAACCTTCATTCAGCAGTGATGGCAGGTACAGAATGCAGAATATTGTGAGTAAAAATTGTACAACAGATTGTGAAGAATACTTTGGAGTTAAACTTTTAATAAGATATGTAGTGTGGGTTTTAAATCAGTGTGGATATGTGGCAAGTGGTCTGCTACATTTGTACGTTTTAAACCCTGGTTCTTTATTGTTGTGTGCTAAATGCACAAGGGCATTTGTGGATACATAGAGTTTAAACAAAGGCTTTTTGTTTTTAAATACAGGGGGGGGTTTGTTTTGTTTTGTTTACAGTATGTAGACAATGTATTCTTTTTGCATGTTGAAAAAACAAATGACTTTCCAAATTCATCTTTGACATACCCATGAAATTGGTCTAAAGGATTTGAGCACTATGAAGGATGATGTAATAAGCTGCTCCTTTATTTGGAGCTGATCTGTACTCACAAATGTGATGTAAACTCTGAGGTTGTATAAGTTCTGCTGCTTAATGAAAAATAACATAAATTCTGCCTATAATCTTAGATGTTCTCAAATCGGAAATTAGCATTTGGGCACCGCAAAAACTTGAGTTCCACAATATTTTAGTACCAACCAAAAATAGAAAATATAATTTATATTGATGGAAATAAACTTTAAATCATAGTTTTCAGTTGGTAACTAAAGCACCCCAAATGCTTATTGAGACACCTACCATATTTTCTCCCATACGTGTGCTCCTTTCCCAAAAAATAAGCCCCCCAAAATTAGGGTGTGTATATTAAGTGGGAGGCTGATTTTCTTCCCAGGATAGAAGTGCCCTCCCTTGATTCTTCCTCCACAGTGCAGAAATTGCTGGATTACTCTTCAGGCAGCTGTCAAAGTCAGTTGATGTAATAGCTCATTGTTCTTCACTCGAGCTGTTAACAATGATCTCTCCTTTTGAATGGTCGTGAAGTTCCATTAAGGTAACTTTTCTTAAGGCAATCTTGCTGTTTGCTACATGCTCCTGGTCTCTTTCCTCATATTTCACAGCCTTAGAGACTCTTTTGTTTTTTTCAAGGAGACCAGTCTTTTAGCAGTATCTAGGGTTTCAGCTTTAGTTAAGTAGGAAAGGGAAGGTTAGTCAACTTTAAATTGGGCTCTGTCCCTGTTCTGTGCAGCTATATTCTGGAAAAATATTTTTTTCTTTCATTTTGCCCTTCAAAACCAAGGTGCATATTGTTTTCCAGGGCATGTTGTATGCAAGAAAATATGGTACATGATTTCTACAGGTATCGAGCCTTTATTGTTCCTATCTAAACTGTTAAGCGTCTCCTGGAAGCTTCCTTAAAAGACAGTAGTATTCAGTGTGGTTAATAGGGCTCTCCTAGGACTGAGCATGATTGGAAGCTCCTTTGTATTTCATTGTAGTTTTCAAGTTCATTATATATAATTCAGTGCTGTATGCTTAGCATGCACGTAGGAATTTCAATCAGATGATTTAATTTCTGAATGTCAGTTTATTTTAAAAAGACAAGTGGTGGGTGATCCTTTTTATTGCAATAAATGAAGGGATCAATTGACAAGGTGCAAGCATTTAGGAATTGATTCGCTTCAGGAGACTGAGAGAGTAGAACCATGTGAGATAATAAAAACACTGGGAAATTAGATGATTCGAAGTCAGAAGTATCCTGCTCCCTGGATAAGTTTCTGGCATGTTGCTTCATATTTTTATTTTTATCATCATTTGAGTAATTTGAGTGACAGAAGTTATTCACACTGAAATCAGGGCAACTCTTTCTCTCTTCTTCCCTGCCCCCTTTTTTTCCTTTTTCTTTTTTTAAGTGACTTCCAAGGTGCTTTTCAAATTGCTCCTTTGTGATTTTTATTAAATGTTTGCAACAGGAACATCAAGACTTGTCTCTTCTGATTTGGCAGGAATGTTTCTTGGGGGATTCACATGTGTTAACAGAGTTCTCTCATCTTAATTAAAATAGTATAAATTTGAATCTACAAGAACGACCTATTTGTTCTGAATGTCCGTTAGATACTAAGGATTATGTAGGAGTTAATAAAACAGACAAAAACAGGTCGCAAAACAGTCTTCGGTCAAGATTTCTCCTTTTCAGTTGCTTTTTTATGGTCTTGATTAGTGAAATTTTCAGTAGTTACCAGATATGGTAGTTTTTGTCATTTTAAACAGGGCCTGGGTTTCTAATGTTAAAATCAATCAGGTTTGTTGTTGACAAGTATCTTTTAGGGCTTTTTAAATTTATTGTGATGAAGTAAAAAAAGGAAAAAAAAGTGGGGAGCAGAAGCCCAGTTTCTTCCACCATCTCCTCAGAAGGAAGGAGTGTCTACAGGCAACCCCTGCTTAGTGCTCTTACTTGATTCCTGAAAAACTGAGCATTAAGTGAAATGACCGTTAAACGAAACGGAAAGTTTTTGATGACGCTAGATGGCGACTGCGATGAAATTTGCTGAGCGCTAAGTTGAATCAGGTATCAAATTAAAATGAGATTGTACAGAAAGGACAGGGTGGGGGAAAAAAGGGGGAGGGGTTGCGCTCTATGTCAATGAGCAATATACGTCACCCTCATCAAGACGGAATCCAAGGATGAGGAAGTAGAAGGATTGTGGGTTAGGCTACATGGGGGGCAAGGAGAAAGGGATTTGGTGGTAGGGGTCTGCTACAGACCCCCCACATCAAGGGGAAGAAATAGATGCGGGGCTCCTGAGGCAGCTCATGGAGACCATAAAAGCTAAAGAGGCGGTAGTCATGGGGGACCTAAACTACCCAGACATCTGCTGGGAGTCACAGACAGCAAAGACCCACCGTTCACGCAGGTTTCTAACCTGTGTACAGGACCTCCACCTGAC